GGGCGCAGCGCTGATCCATGACCCCGTCCATCCCGGGCTCCTAGCAGGTGCCCGGGCACACCTGGCCAGGGAGGGCACTGTGGACAGGCACTCCCTGGGTAAACAGCCAGCTCCTGGTTCTCCTCTCTGAGTCTGGGAGGTGAACGCGCCTGTCCCCATTCATCTCTGTGGAGAGGTCCAGGCTGATGTAATTAAGCCCATGCATCTGGTTGCCATAGAGTTCCCGCCAGTGCCAGGCCCATCAGCCGGCAGAAGTGGGTCACACGTTTGTCTCCTCGTTCTTGGACTTCTGGAAAATAATGATGAATCGCATCCACGTGTGCACCTGGGCCGTTTCCTGAGCAGCCCTGGGCGGTAATGAGCTGTGAGCTGGAGCGGGGCTCTGCCCACTGGCTCGTCCCCTCTGGGTGCCAATTTATCTTTGGGCTCCAAGGCCTGCTGGCAGGTTCCACAGTGGAAGACTTGCCCCTCACACACAGCCCTGGGAAGTCCTCCAGTGAGTCTGACCTTGTACCTCCCCTGTGCTGTCTGACCGAGGCCACCCTGTGGTGCACGGACCGGGGAGGCCTGCGGATCCTGAGGGCGGGTGGGACGTGGTCCAGTGTGTCCCGTGCCTTCACTCGGCCCAAGGCTGGGAGCCAGCGTGGCCTCCTGCTCTCCGTCCTGCAGAATCGAATGGAGCTCAAGGCTGAGTGTTCACGGAACATCCACCTGGGCCAGGCATGGAGGACTGGAAGGGGAACAGCCATCACTGCCTTCGTAAGGGGGGCTAAGCTTTTGCAGCTCGGAGATGCTAGAAAGCGAGGAAAAGAAAGCACAGCTCTGCCCGCCCAGCATCTTCAATGACCTGCTGAGAAAGAGTCTTGCACGTGTCATTAAGTTACGGATCTTGAGGTGAGATCACCCTTGATTACGTGGCACCAGAATCTGACGACAAATGCCCTTCTAGAAGAGGAGAGAAGACAGAAGAGCCCACGTGAGGCAGAGGCTGGAGCGAAGCGGCCACAGCCAAGGATCGCCTGGAACCACCAGGAGCCGGAGGGGAAGGGGGACCCTCCCCTAGAACCCCCAGAGTGAGCATGGCCTGGGTCACACCTGGAGTTCATGTCCCTGGCCTCCAGAACTGTGGGCATAAATTTCAGTTTTTTTGAATCAGCAAGAGCGTGATAACTCACTTTGGTGGCTGTAAGAAATGAATACACTCCGTACACACAATTTCAGGGCCTCCCAGGAGCCCCCTAAACCGTGGAGGTCATCTGCCGTGTGGAGGAGAGGGGCTGCCCAGAGCTCAGGAGGGCTGAGGGGCACACTTTGTGCTATGTCTTTTTTTTTTTTTTTTTTTGAGACAGAGTCTCGCCCCGTAGCCCAGGCTGGAGTATGGTGGCACGATCTCAGTTCACTGTAACCTCTGCTTCCCGGTTCAAGCAATTCTACTGCTTCAGCCTTCAGAGGAGCTGAGATTACAGGCAGGCACCACCATGCCCAGCTAATTTTTGTATCTTTAGTAGAGATGGGGTTTTACCATGTTGGCCAGGCTGGTCTCTAACTCCTCCTGACCTTGGGATCAGCCTGCCTCCGCCTCCCAAAATGCTGGGATCGCAGGCGTGAGCCACTGTGCCCGGCCTGTGTTATGTCTTTTGGTGCATTTTCTAGCTTCTCTGCTCTCTATAGGTTGAAGGTGCTGGCCTGGAAGCACCGAGATGGAACCAAAGCCCAGGAAGAATCCTGAGAAGCAGATTAAAGAACGGCCTGCCTGCTATGGGCTATGGAAGGTTTGTGGAGTCTGGGGGTCCATGGCCCTGCCGTCCCCAGTGGTACCATCTTGGGGAATGCTCATTGATATCACCAGTTGACCAAGGGCTGATGATTGGGGCACCAAGAGAGGAGAGGCTCCCCGGTAACGTGCACCTTCCAACGGGAGGGTTCCAGGGAACCAGTGCATGAACGTGAGAACCCCAGTCAGGAACAAATGCTGTGCAGGGACCCGAGCAGGGCAGAGTGGGCAAGAGACCTGGGAGAGTGGGGTCGGGGGCGCAGGCCTTGGGGAGGGGACAGTAGACTGAGATCTGAATGACAAGGAGGACTCCACCCTCCAGAGGCCTGGGAGTGGGGCAAGCATTCCAGGCAGAGGAGCTTTGGCTAAAAACGTGGAGACAGGAGACGGGGGTCAGTGCTGGGCAGGGCTGTGTCCTGATCTGGTATGCTCAGAAGGGCAGCTGTGATTTTGGCTGCCGGGGTATCCAAGCTCCAAGGAAGCAGGAAAGGGCAGCCGTGGTGTGAAGTTATGGACTGTGGATCATGTGCGACGGGCCTGGTGGGAGGGAGACCCATGGGGAGGCGTTGGCTTTGACTGGGAACATGGTGGTGATTTAGATGACGCTGGAATGAACCTTCATTAGGAGGTGGAGGGATCCGGGCAGGTCCAGAACGCACTTTGGGAGTTGAGTCAGCACAGATTCCTGCTGGGGTGAGTGTCGGGTGAGGGAGAAGAGGCGACGGCCCTTCCTGGGCTATGGCCTGAGCACCTGGAAGAACGTGGTGGCCGGTGGTCTGAGCGGGAAAGTGTGGGGTGTCGGTGGGAGACCTGGGGGTCCTGCTGGACACACCGAGTGGACATGACTTCAAGTGGGCAGCAGAGCCTGGGGTGAGGCAAGGCCGGGGCTGGACATGATCTCCGAGTCCCTGGCCGGGAACGGGTGCCTGTCTAATGTCTTCCAGGCCGCATGCCTGGAAGGACCCGGCTGGAGCAGGTGATCAGTGGAAGTGGGGGTCCCTCTGTTTCCAGGTTTTCTCCCCAACCACAGGGAGCCAGGGAAAGGGCTGGAGGTGGGTGTGGGGGCAACTCAGCCTGGAAGAGCAGCACTGTCCCCAGGGGCGGCTCTAGCCAGGATGGAGCCTCCACAGAGCCACCTGTGGTTTGGAGCCATGCCAGCAGGTCGCCAGAAAGGAAGGCCCAGGAGGTGAACCCCCGGCAGCCTTCCCTCCCTCCCCTGCCATTCTGGCTCAGTATCTCTGGGGCCCACCTCTGGGACCTGGTTGGAATCAGGGGATCTGATTTTTCCATCCAGGCAGAAGGTGGGGATGGGCCCGCCTCGGCTCCCAAAGTGCTGGGATTACAGGCTTGGGCCACCTCACTTGGCTTTTTTTTTAACATATTTTGTAATTATTTTATTTATTTGTTTGATTTTGAGCCTGTCACACAGGCTGGAGTTCAGTGGCGTGATCTTGGCTCACTGTAATCTCTACCTCCTGGGTTCAAGCAATTCCCCTGCCTCAGCCTCCAAGTAGCTGGGACTACACGCCCGGCTAATTTTTGTACTTTTAGTAGAGACAGGGTTTCCCTGTGTTGGTCAGGCTGGTCTTGAACCCCTGACCTCAAGGGATCTGCCTGCCTTGGCCTCCCAAAGTGCTGGGATTACAGGCATGAGCCACCATGCCTGGCCTTCATGAGTTCTTACAAACAACAAAAGATGATTTTATTCCTCCTGTTACGGGGCAGGTAAGCCCCACAATTAGGACTTAGCCCGGGAAGGATCTTGGCTTTGCTCAGGAGGGAATTCAAGCGGCAGTGGGTGGTGGAAGGAAGCAGCTTTGTTGAGGCAGCGGTGTTGCAGCTGCACGGCTGCTCCTGCAGAGCACGGCTACCCCACAGGAAACGTGCTGAGAACACAGCTGAGGGCAGTTCGGCAGTCATGCTTCTATCTATTTTTAACTATATGCAAATCTGGACAGACAGATGAATGGCTGGATGAATGGATGATGGACAGATGATGAATGATGGATGGATGGGCTAGTCATCAGTTTCTAGAAAGGGGCAGTAATTTCCAGGTCATGGCCCTGGAAAGCGGTGGTAGCGTCCAGGTGTTGCCATGGCAACAGTGGAAATGTGTTACGGAGATGTGGTTTTGGTGCCTCTCCCCTGTTTCAGCTGGCCTTCAGGATGGTCCAGAGTTGAGTCCTAACTCCTAACTCATTACTAAATGTTGGAGGCACTTTCTCAGGCCCTGAAGATACATCAGCAAACACAGCAGACAAGCCTCAGATGAGGGGCGGCAGATGGACAGTGAACAAGCGCATAAGTAAACATCTAGAATCTGTGTCAGGTGGTGATGAGCCTCATGGAGAAGAACCCCAGAGGGGATGGGGAGGGAGCCAGGAGTAAGCGTCTCCACTGAATGGTCAGTGAAGCTGAATGGAGAGGATGCCACTGGATAACTCAGCCCCATTTCAGCATCCATCTATCCATCATCCATCCATCACCTGTCCATCCATCCATCCATCCACCCATCCATTCATCTACGAATCCATCCATTTATCTATCCATCATCCATTCCTCATCATCATTCATTCGTCCATCCCTCATCTATCCATCCATCGTCTGTCCATTCATTCATTCATTCATTCATCCCTTATCTATCCATCATTTGTGCATTGACTTATCATCCATCCATCCACTCATCTATCCCTCTGTTCATCTATCCCTTCATCATCTGTCACCCATCCATCTACTCATCTATCCATTAATCCATCCATCATCCGTCAATCATCCATCCATCCATCCATCATCCATTCATCCATCCACTCATCCATCCATCCATCATCCATCCATCCATCCATCCATCTGTACATCCTGTGAACAAATATTTTTGTGTTCTGAGTAAATGGTATCATGAGTGTTGGGGACACATCAATGAACATAGCAGAGCTGGCCCTGCTCTCATGGAGTTAGATTCTGCTGGGGGAGGCAGATAATAGAGATGAAATAATTACAAGTGAGAAGAGAGTGTCTCAGGGCCACGGGGTGCATAGCAGGGCACAGTTGCTTCTGTGGGTGCCTTGGTCACTGGCCCGGAATCCACTGGTCATTAGTCTGTTTCATGCCGAAGACTGGAGGCTCCTAGAAGCCAGGGGCCATGTGCTCTTCATCTCAGGGCCCCCTTCACCAGCACCAGTCTTTCTGAGTCCCCGTCGGGACCCAGTGTATAAGTGATGGAAATTACTGGACGTGACCTTGCTTCTGAGTTGGGCAACCTGAAGTGGAGAAAGCTCTCCCAGTAGAGGGACAGCCTGAGCCAAGGTCTGGTGCTCAGAGCAAGGCATTTGGGCTGAGAACGGGAAGGAGAGTGTGGAGGGAATGAACCCGGGTATCCTGGGGGCAAGGGAGGCGGGCGTTGTGTGTACCCAGCTGCTTTGGGGTCCCACCTGCCTCTTCCATGTAAACCCATCCTGAGGAGAGGGTTCTACACAGGAGCTCTGTACCCGCCAGCAATGTTGACATAAGTCCTGGGGTGACTCCCCACCCCAAAACTAAGAGGTTCTGTCCCCCAAGGAGGGGCTTCAGACATCCCCAGGGAGACGTATTTGAGGTGTGCGTGTCTTCCTGCCTGAACCCCATCACTGGCCAGGACCGGAGGAGCCCAGGCATGAGATCAGGTAAAATTCTGGGCTGCAGATCTGGCCCAGCCTCTCAAGGACTGACGTTAACAGCCAGCTCCACCCTCCGCCCTCCACAGTGAAGATCGGATCAGACCCACAGCTGCTTCCTGTCAGGCCGGCTGCGGAGGGAGTCCTTTCCAGGCACAGAGGGGCTCTCAGGTCCCAGGGCACCGTGGCATTGCTGTGGGCCCCTCCACTCTTGGCTGGTAACCCAGGCATCTGCTCTCAAAAGGGCCCGAGAGAACCTCCAGCATCAGGGCCAAGAGGTGGGGTCCGGGCGGACCCACCCGCTTCTCAGAGCCCCGGGGTCCTGGGCTGGTGGGAGGGAGTAGGTGGTGAGGCCTGGAGGCAGAGGACCCGATGCAGCACAGAAGCTGGGGAGCGGGCGCGGCCTCCCTGTCTCCTCCCGTTTATTTCTCATCTGAACAGGACTCGTGTCCCCCTGGACTTGGGCTCCTTGGGGCCGGGCCGGGCTGGGTCTGTCCTCAGGCCCCCCTGCTGTAGTCCTTCTTCTCAGAATGGGGTCAGCACATCTTTGTTAAGCAATTTGTTCAAAATCAAGTGCTGATCCCTTTGCTCCAGTCCAGGCTCTAACCATCCCTCCCTGCCTCAACTGTGAGTGAGCTCACTCCCTCCAGCCCTGCGTCATCAGCTCCACCCTCCACCTCGATTAGCATGCGGTGTCTTCGTGGCCAGACCGTAAGTTCCGAAGCACAGGGACCACGTGTGTCTCGCTTGCTGTTTTAATGCAGTCAGATCCCCTGGCTCAGAGCCTCCCCCGAGGCTGGGTGAGGAAAGGAGGCAGGGGCGGAGCTGGTGGAGGTGTTGGTGCTGAGAGTCCCTTCAGAGAAGAAGGACCTGACTCACACGACAGAAACAGCCAAGCTCTCCGGATTCTGCCTCTTTGTTCCCCCGTGTGGACCCGGCTCCTCCCTCCTCAGGGCCTCAGTGAGGCCACCTATGATCTATACTGTGAGGGGTGCCTGGGCTCCCCAGGAGCTCTGCCAGCCAGGCTCCGGCCGGTGACAGCCCAGCACATGGGGTCACCTCCCTGGTGCGGCACGTTTCTCTGGGCTGCGTGGAGCCCAGTGCCACAGAGGATTTTTCCACTGCCTCCTCCTGCCGCAGCCTCTGCCTCCAACCGTAACTTAATTAGCTCCGCTTCCCAAACAGGCAAAGCGTGACTCAGCACTTTTGCAGAAGGTCTAAATTTGTCGCAACCCCCCAGGTGTCTTTTAGCCAAATCCTTCGGGAAATAAGCTCATGGGGTTAGAAGAGGGATTTGGGGTGGCTTCTGGCAGGGCCAGGGCGGGTACCTGTCCATAGTCCTTGCTCCTGTGGACCCCCCCTTCCCAGGACAGGGTCACAGATGGCCTCGGGTCCCTGCACCTTGTTCCTTCCTCCCTCCCTGCCCTCAGTGGGGGCCTCAATCCCCAGTGGCTGGAAGTTAAAAAACAAAGTCACCACCGTGCTGTGGATCCACCCCAGCCACAAGCCTGAGAAGTGTGGGTTCTCCGGGGTTCTGGGCACTGCCTGGCTCTCCCTGTCAGGCTTCACCAAAGAGCAGCTGGAGCCGGTGAGGCGGCCTCTTGTCCTCTGTGGGTGCAGGTGTCTCTGGCTAACCTGCCCCGAGGCCAAGGTCAGAGGCCTTGGGCTCCCTCCGCCATTTCCTCCCTCTCTTCAAGGCCAGCAGCATCTTCTCACCTCTGACCCCTGGCTGGTCCTCACATCTTCCTTGACTCTGAGACTCCTAACTCTCTTTTATAAGGACCCTTGAGCTTCTATGGGGCCTATGCCCATGGTCCAGAATAATCTCCACCTGCCATGGAACCCTTCACTTAAGCTCATCTGCAAGGGTTCTTTAGGTAGGAACGTATTCACAGGCTCTGGGGAAGAGGACGTGGCATCTGGGGGAGTCATCCTGTCGGCCACAGTCACAGACGCCTCCTCTGGCACTGACCCGGCCGGATCCCATCACCTAGCTCTAGTTCCACCTGAGAGCAGCACGGGGGTCCCTGAATAAAGCCCACCCAGCCTCAGCTCCAAGGAGGGGCCGACGTCAAGAAGGTGCCCCTGCCTGGTAAGAGGGGGTGAGCGCCCCTTCATCACCGGCTGCAGAACAGATTATGGGTGTGGAATAAATTACGAGCTAACATGCGTAGTCACCCCCTGCTTCTCCTGCCATCATTAAGCGCTAAATCACTTGTCCAGATGCTCAGAAACAGCCAACAGGTTTCAGTGTCAGCACCGCCCAAGCCGTGGTGGACGCCCTCCCGGAGGCGAGAGCAGCCAGGCTCTGCTGCCCGGATCAGGGTGCGGCTGGCCCGCCCGCCTCCCGGCACCACGGCCCTGCTCTCTGCCTGGGGTCCTCTGTCAGGGCCCGGTCCTGGCCTGAGCGGCACCGCTGTCCCCACCTCTCCCTGGTTTCCTGAGGAATCGTACTTGCTGTTTTTTGGCAGAGACAGAGGTATGAGTCTGTGCAGCTCGAGCCTGGCCTGGGAGCTGCTGAGAGCACCCCCTAGCCCCCAAGCGAACTGCTGGGCAGTGGCCACAGCACCCCAGCTTTTCGGTCGGACTTGGCCCAGAGAGGAGACCCCAGTTCCGACTCTGACCCAGCCTTGCCGGGTTTGAATTCAGCGAGTCACCCAGTGCTGGTTTTCCAGGATGGAGACCGCAGTGAAGACAGAGGGCCCACTTCCTGGTTGCTCCCCATCAGCCCAGACCTGCCTTCCGAAGAACACGTGTGTGGCCTCGTCCCACCTGGAGCCCTCCCTGGCCGTCCCTGTCCTCCCTGAAGCACCTCGGTGTGCCCCGCAGTGGGTGAGCTGTGGCACCAGCTCGCAGGCTTGAAGGCGCCGGGGCCCACGGCCTGTGGTCCCCAGGGATGCCGTCGCCCCAGACAGGGCCCACAACCAGCTGCCTGTGCCCTTCAGAAAGCCACTTCCTCGCTCTGCCTGTTATCTGCTTTATGGGTAGTGGGTTGGAAACAGTCACCCAGCCAGCCCTCTCCTTTTATAAAGGAATTGAGAGACGGCACCCGGCAAGGCCATGCCCTTGGTGTCTGCAGCACGGTGTGTGGAGTGGGGACGGAACGAGCTCATGGCGGGCTCTGCCCTGGGCCAGGGGCTGGGTGGGCTGTGCACCGAATGTTCCCAGCTCAAAAACTCCAGTGAGCCTCTCCATATGGATGGCAAAGACCTGAGCTCAGAGTGGGTAAGTCTGTGCCCAGCGTGCAGTGCCCAAGGTCACCCAGTACTGCATGCTGACTTCTCTGCAAAGCCAGCCTTTCCCGCCTGTGGCCCAAGAGGTATACAGGGATGCATTTTTTAATTTCAAAAATGTCAGAAACAGGTCCCATTCACTTCTCATTTCCTGCTTCCCTGTATCCCAAAACCACACCTCCCAGCCTCACTTGCACTAGGCTGTGGCCACATGACTGACTAGCCAAGGAAGTGTGGGTGGAGCCTTTCTCTTCTTCAGAGACCCTGGGGGCTCGCAGATGGAGATGCCTGCTTCCCTGCGGCACTCTATGGAAGAGAGAGGAGAGGGTGAGAATTGGGGGCACTAATCTCCTACCATGTATTGTGAAGTATCAGAAAAAATATGGTCTGCCCATCAAACCATGGGCTAGAGATACCGTTGCTAAAATGCAGCCACAAAATAGGGCAAGGGGATTCTCTTTCCAAAACTGCTAAGGAAAGAGGAGCACGGGTGGTCCCTGGAAATGGCATATCTGGAAGGAGGCTATGAAGATGTTTGGGAACGCCAGCACGGGGCTCTGCCGCTTCCCCAGCAGAAAGAAGGCACTTCCCAAGGCTCAGGGCCAGCATGGAGCTGGCATCTTTGCCTCTGTCCTGGCAGGTACCTTTCAGAAAACCCGATCTCCCCTCTCAGGGCCTCTGTCCTTGTGCCCTCTGGCAGCCTCAGGGACATTTGGGCTGACTTCTCTCCCAGTTTAGAAGTCAACCGTTTTATACCCAGAAAGGAGAACAGAGCTCCTCTGAAAGTCATCTCCCTGATTTATGCAGTCAGCGAATTCCACGAAGCTCACTGAGGCCAGTGATTCACGTGGCCCCTTAGATGCACAATCTATTTTATGACTTAAGAAAGAGACAGGAAAATGCATGCTTTTCCGTACGTAGGACATCGACAAGCCCAGCGCCTCCAATCGATAAAATCATATTCTGCTGACTTGGAGAAGGGGCTGAAACGCCATCCGGGTGAGCTCTGGCTGCGGGAGCCGGGCGGGGCGGTCCGGAGCGGGAGACGTTTCTCGGCCTCGCCACTGATGTGTTGAAAACGATCTGGAACTGTGTGAAAACAGATGGTCTGGGGCGGGGCCGTGCCTCCGAGCAGTGCCGGAGAAATTACCCTGGCTTGGCCAGCGCCTGCTCCCCAGGGGCAAGCCACGGCCTGGCAGATTGTCCGTTCATGGAACTCAGAGGGCAGAGGCTGCTGAGGGACACAGACTCCCAGTCCCCGGGGGAGGGTGGAAGTGCTTTCCTCTCTGCTTGCACACCACCAGTAATGGGGAGCTCACCACGCTTCAAAGGCTCTTCCCTGCACGGAGCTCAGAACTCCTCCCTGCACCTACCACCTTAGTGGCGCCAAGTCTTAAGGCTGAAGGCTCATCCTGTCTCCTTCAGAAGCTACAACTGATACCAAACAGACGTGGCCAGCATGGGCCACCCTGGGGTACCTGGTTGGGCAGAAGGTCATTCTTAGCTGCCTCCTGAAGCCGGGTGCCCAGGGTCTCCTCTCGCCGCCCTCCGGCCCTCCCCGCACCCTGGTCTCCTTTGTCACTTCCAGCGTGGACACTTCCCCCAGCCACGCGGGTTTCCTCACCCTCCAAATGTGCCCTGCGGCACCTGCCTCCCAGCCTTTGTTTACCTCATTCCCTCCACCTGGAAGGCCCTCCCCTGCCACTCTCGTTTCTGAAGTGCCACTGTTTTTAGGGCCTGAATGTGCCCCTCTTCCCCCCACCAGCGTCAGTGCCCGAGTGTGTGAACACTCAGCCCCTGTAATGATGGCACATCGTCCTGACTCCCACCCAAGCCGCTGGCCCAGGAGGCAGGATCCGGGCTGTGCGTGGCACTCCCCAAGTGTATCAGCCCATCTCCCTGATCCACTGTAGAGTGGGGAGTGAAGGAAAGCGTCTGCTCCAGGAAGCCGCACTGATGCAGCCCCTATGAGGCTTCTAAGAGCCTTTCCTCTTGGCATCTCTTCCTAGGCTGTACCAATCACGCAGAATGTGCCTCCTTTCCCTGTACAGATGCTGCCTCCTCCAGGAAGCCTTCCTGGCTTCGTGGGAAGCAACGATCTTCCACTCTGGCTTTGGCCACTGTCTCTGCACTTCCCTCCGGGCCTGGTCACTTCATGCCTCCGTGACGGTTGTATGTAAGTGTGCGGGCATGTGCGCAAGGTGTGGGGGTGTGCGGGGTGTGTCCAAGCGTAAGCCAAGTCCCTAGTCTGCAGAGGCCCCACACCGCTGGCATGGCTAATACTGGCTACGAGGCCTGGCACCTGCTAGGTTCTGAGTCCATGCCGGCCGGGTGAGGGGGGAGTGGATGGACGAGGACTGAGCTGAAGACATAGCTCTGATGTAGACTCTCAGCCTCCTCAACTGAGCCCAGCCCTTGAAGGGCAGCACAGGCGGAGTGGCAAGGAGGGGAGGAGCTCGGGCTTGGCATCAGCATGCCTTCCGGCAGGTGCTGCGTGGAGCCCACGTGGGGAAGAGGGCGCGGCTCTGGCCCTGGCTCCCCCACGTGTCCATGAGACCCCTGCCCCATGCACACTGCCCCCACCCAAGCCCACTCACTGTCCCCGCAGCCTGCTGGGAGGCCCCTCCGTGCAGATCTGCAGCCATGAACACCCCCCTTCCCTGAGCACCCTCCGCCCTGCTCTGACACCTGGCTGTTGGGAGAGGTGGGGCCTTGCTCCCACAGCCTCTCCAGGGAAGGCTGTTTTCTCTCCCCATGGTGGTTCCCCTCTTTCTCACATGGACGAGCCCTGCCTCCTTGCCCTCTGCAAAGCCCAGCTCCTCTGCTCACCTCCTCCAAGCAGCCTGTCCTGGTCCTGCAGGGCAGCTCCCTCCAGCGTGGCCCCAATGGGTCCTGATCCCAGTGAGGCCTCTCAGCTCCTTGGCCCCACTAACCAGCTTGTCCCCCACCTGAATCGCTCTCCTGGGGGGCCATGCCCCTGCCCCTGTCAGTCCTGGTGGCAGCTCCTCCCCCCAAATTCTGGTTCCAAGTCCACTTCTCTCCAGCTCGCCTGATGGAGTGGTCCAGGCCCCTGGCTATGTGCAGACCTCACTTCCTGGCTGCAGCCACATTCTTGCTCTTAACCCCTGCCTGCCCCTTGCCCTTGCCTGCCTCTGCCTAGCCCCACTGGATTTCCGTGGCCCCCGAGGTAGTGCCCCTCACTCCCTTCCTCTGTTGACTGGCAGGAATTCCCCACCCTGTGCAGCCCTAGGGGGCCAGTTCCCCACCCTTCAAACCAATGGGCTTACACCTGCTCCCTGCAAGCCCTCCTCCAAGCCCTGGCCCCTCCCCTTCCCTGACCCTGACCTTGACGCAGCCTTCGCTGAGAAAGTTGGAGCAGATGGAAAGGCATGCCCCTCACACCCAAATGCCCATTCCCACCTCTGCTCTGTTCTGCTAGTGTTGGGAGGAGTTTTTCGGGGGACAGCGCTTCCTGGACTCACTCCCTGGTGATGTCCCGAGGATGCTCCTCCTGCAGCGGCCTCCTCTCTCTCTCTGCGATGTCCCGAGGATGCTCCTCCTGCAGCGGCCTCCTCTCTCTCTCTGCGATGTCCTGAGGATGCTCCTCCTGCAGCGGCCTCCTCTCTCTCCCTGCCACCATCAACCTCTCCCTGCCACTGCTTTCCTGCCACTCACCACCCCTGACATTGTCATCCACTGACCTGCCCCTTCCATTTCCTCTCCTGCACGTGAGGCCCAGGCCTTTCTGACTTGGTCACCCCCATGTTCCCAGGCCCCAAACGGCAACAATAACAAAGGGTGACTCGTGATTATTTGGTGAAGGGAGCTGATGAGCGGATGAGCAGATGCCGGTGGCCCAGACCCACCAGCCGTCAGCCCATCCTGGCAGCCACAGCACCATGGGGTCCTCTGGCCATTTATAAGGGCAGGAGTTCCTTCCTCCCTGTGCTGGGCGGGCAGCTCCTGCCTGGGACCTTCCACATGGCAGGAGCCCCATGAACAGGACGGAATGCAGAGCGGCAGAGGGGAAGGGCCTTAGACCTTTGAGCAGTGACCCGGCCACTCAGGAGGGGAAGCCACGGGCCTCGGCAGTCCCGTCCAGGGCAGGTGACCCTGACCCACATCCCAACAACCCAAACTGTCCCGTGTCTCACCTTTCATGCTTGTGTGATGACGAGAAGTTGTGAATCACACAAGAACAGACAAGTCTCATTCTCTGTGACACCTTGACGTCCGGTGCTGCCCAGCCCCAGGCCCTGTGCCCACGCCCCGCCCTACCTGCAGGGGCAAATTCTAGACTCCCTAGGTCTTTTCGGGGTTTGCCTGTTATCTGCACAATTGCTCTGCCCCCACTTTTTCTGCAGGGAGTGCCCTGTCTAGGGGCAAACATGAACCTTTGCAGCTAAGGCTAAACGTGCAGTGCTTTTGGAGACGGCCCCAAGCCAGCAGCACCAAATTTGGGATAATTTTACAATAAAGGGATGTGTACAGTCCCAACCAGGCATGCGATGTGCCTCCAGGCTGGGCCTGATTGAGGCGGTGGAGAGCCATGGCTTGGGGTCAGGGCACAGGCTATGGCCAGCGTTGGTGCTCGTAGGAGGTGCTCCTGCAAGGTAATCAGAGGCGCAAATTCCTGCGCTCCATGGGGAGTTATTACTGCACACTTGCCCTAAGCCGGCTGGATGTGTGGCTGGGACAGGACCACGAGCGAGTCCGAAGGACCTGTGCTCCCTGGAGTCAGTGATTCAGCGGGGTTGCCGTGACGTGGACGTCGGCAGGCCAGGAGCCGAAAAGCCTGCAGAAGAGCACAGGGTTCTCCAGAAAGCTGTCTGGAGAAAAGCAGCATGTGAGTATTGTTCTTGGAACAAGTGGTTGCATCTCATCAAACAGTGTTTTCCTGAACTCGCCGCTAATTTGTTTCCACGATCAACCTCATGAGTGCTTTCAAGCTGGGACCTCTTTTCTGGTTGTTTCTAGATGGGCTGTCTCAGTCCTGCCTCTCACTTTGGCTGCAGTGAATAATTCACATACACCAAATTGCTTCTTCTTCTACTGCCTAGACACGGGAGGGAGGGTCTGCACAGCCAGGCTGGGGGGCAGCGAGCGGAGAGGAGGCTCTGGCTTCCTCCTCCTGGTCCCTGATGAGGGGCTGTGGACTGTTTCTAAAGAGGGTCACAGGGCCGGACTCCATCTCCCCCAAAGGTTTCCTGTGTCAGGAACTTGGGGCTTCCTGGGTGCTTTTTCTCCTTGTACGTCATGGCCCAAGTCTCAGTTCTGAGAAGCAGAAAGGAGAATCCACACCCTGCCTCAGAGAATCCCAGCCAAATACCCAGGGCACTCGGAGCAGCCCCCATTCCAAAAACGAAGCGTCGAGGTGAAGACAAGAGCCAGGACCAGCCCAGGCCCTGCCTCGTGGGGGGAGAGCAACCTCTTCCCAGTCACACCCCCGAGGAGCTCCAGAAATGGGGGTTAAGTTGCAGCGTAGACTGGAATGTTCCAGAAGCCCACACTGGCCGCCCCCAGGCGTGAGTTTGCGTCTGAAGTCCATCCATGCCTTGCGTGCCTTCTCCGTGCTTCTCAGTGGGAGGTGTGTGCTGCCCTTTGTGTGCTCAAAACACACGGCAGGACCATGGGGCCTCCGGTCCACCCTGGGGTCTTCTGCAGACACTCGAGAGTGGACTGCTGTGAGGCAGGGAAACTGAGGCTGAGTCATGCTGACATTTTTTTTGTTTTTTTTTGAGACGGAGTCTCGCTCTGTTGCCAGGCTGGAGTGCAGTGGTGCGATCTCTGCTCACTGCAACCTCCGCCTCCCGGGTTCAAGCAATTCTCCTGCCTCAGCCTCCCGAGTAGCTGGGATTACAGGTGCCCACCACCACACCCAGCTAATTTTTGTATTTTTAATAGAGATGGGGTTTCACCATGCTGGCCAGGATGGGCTCGATCTCTTGACCTTGTGATCTGCCCACCTCGGCCTC